CTATTTTTACTTAAAAAGTAAAAGAAAATTGACAAAAATTCAATTGTTTTTACCCTTGTAAAAAGCGGCAAGCAAATATGTGAGCGATTCTGCACTTTACCGAGAATATTTACAAAGAAAAGGCATCATTCATTATAGAAAATTACGTTTGAACAACCAACGAGATGAAATTATGCTTTAGCGATAAGTTGGTAGCGAAATAGCGATGCAGGCATCCATTCAGTTATATTTAGCAATTTTTATATAAATTATAATAATGATCTGAAATAGTTATTTACTCTTATGCTTCTATTCAGTCATGTTTAGCCTTTTTCATATAAATTATAATAATAAAAAAGTATTATATGAAATTAACCTTTCATCTAAATTAAACATCAATCTTAGATAGTTGTTTACTATTATATTTCCTTTCTTGCCGCTATTATTTTTGGCAGCATTGGCATCAACAATAATTTGGCGATTTTTTACAGCCCTCGAAACCAAATAGTACCTCAAATTATATTCATGTGTTTAAAAAACATTGCATCAAAATTCTGTGATCCAAATTCTACATATCATTTATCTCATTATGAAATTTATTTTATGAATTATTACAACCCATAAATTTACTCTGAAAATATATTATTTAACAGTAGTCACTCCAGTTATTTTAATATGATTCCTTCTCTTTGTAAGTGAAATAATTTCATCTCTTTGGGGCAATGTTAAAACATATGGCAATTTTATGCTCATAAGAAAAAGTTATATTTTGGATATAAGATAATTGCAATTTTTTCTTTCAAACTTAATTGCCTACTTTTTAATATCCTGATAAATTCCAAGGTCCATTTAAAACTGATAACTACTTTTTTTTCCCTTGTTATATGCCAAAATTTAGAAAAGGAAGAATTTCATCTTTATTTATTTTCCCAGCAAAAATGAGCATTTTGGCAGTTGACATCACAGTTGAACATACAGATTTCAGGAAAATTAGTTTTCACTAATTTGAAATATGTTTGAGGTTTGTTTGGGATGAACACAGCGGCTTATACCATAGAACTTGTACAAGCCAAAGCTGAAGGATGTAGAAAAAAGTTTGTGCTTTTAAAACTATTAGCAAATGGTGTCTAAAAAATGTGTAGCATTTTATTTAGCTATTGATATCAAGCATTTAAGAAAGTGAAGCAGTAATTTTTACTCTTATGTCAGTACACGAGAAATATTGAAATATAATCAAAATCAAGAATTGTTAAGTATACTTGTATATTAGGGTAAATGTTACCTCTAGTGGCATGAAGTCATATTCTTCTGATGAGAGAATTAAATTGTGTATATCCACATAATGCTTCTCTTTTATTTGGCAAGATTTTTTTTCTCAAGCAAACGTATTGCATGTTAACATTAAGGTAAACACTAATACAAATCCAGTTTTTAAAGGCATTGTCTTTTGATTTCTGAAAAGTAACATACTGAATAATTAAAACATAGGATAAAAATGTCTGTTATGAACCAGCTGATTTCCACTTAGTTTAGAAGAAAAAAGTGGAATTTATTTCTGTTTTTCTCCCACAATACATTTTCAGATATTCATAAAAGAATATAGTGTGCCAGCAGGAATGAATGAGATTGAAATGACAAGAACATGAATTGCTTGCATTTAATGATATTATCGTTTACCTTATCGTTTAGGGATAATATTCAAGGATTTCTCATAAAAGGCGTTTTATTTTTTAATGAATATAGAAAATAAAAAAGGGCACTGGGTGCGTTATTGAAATAAACTTAGACAACCCCCCCCCCAAAAAAAAATAATTTTTCTGTCCAAAATTGCCAGCCTATCCACACCTTTTCATTGATGTGCAGATAACCAGAAACCATTCTTCGGCACTTCTTATTGTATGTTTTTTTTTTTTTTTTTTTTTTTTTTTTCCTATTTTGTTGATCAATGCCATTTTGTTATATTTTCATTCGTTTTTGGTAGCAGAAACGGGTGAATTAAATAGATGTTTTTATAGCATGCTCTTTGTGCATTATAAATATTAGCTGATTTTCTTTTGAAAATCCATCCCAAACAGACAGCTTGAATTTCTTTGTCATAATTAAGAAACTTACAAAATTTTTATTTAGCATGATGTGATGTAATCATTTCTTCAAAAAAGGCCTTCGTTTTTGAATAATACACAAATACCGTCATATATGTATTATTTAACCCTTTAGCCAGTCAAGCATATATATATGTGTGTGTATCCAAGAACTTTCATAACATATTTCTGGATTCTTGTATTATCCAAGAATTTTCCTAACATTCAGATGCATCTAACTACATATACATGCATCTTAATGTCTCCACATAATTAAGACAACTAAAGAAAGAGTCCAAGTATAAAGCCAGTGATGAGATTTTAAAATTATAAGAATTGGCTTACTGTCTAAATAAGCAATAAAATAGAAAATAATTAACAATAAGTTACTTAAAATTATGAATCAGGAATCTGTTATGTGGAACTCACTAGAACCATTGAATCCTTACTAATATATAAAGTGATAAGAGCATTTTGAAATTATATTAAGAAAATACTTTTTTTCCTTATAACATTTTCCAGATTTGGGAGCAAACCCATGGCTAATTGGAGGTTTAAAGGTATTAGGGTAAATGTTATTGAATGTACATTTAGCCATTTAGTTAATGTATTTTATTATATTTTTTATAAATATAAAAAAAATTATAGACTTTTGTGCATTCCTAAAATATACATAATGAAACAGTAATGTATCTAAGTGATGATTTATGTATATTTTTTACATTGCAATTGCTTACTAGGCATTAAATTTCAGAAGAAATGTTTTATGACATTATCAAATATTGTGTCATTAATAATTTTTGCAATCTTAAACTTCATTTTTGTCTACATATAAATGCACTTATGAATATTATTAGTAATTTCCTAAAGCATTTTTATATTGAAAAATATTTTTTAATCCATTTTTAAGCAGTAATGGAAGTTTACATAAAAACTGCAAATGCTGAAATATAATTTAACTTGTATAGTAGACAATTACCTATTCAGTTCAAAAAAATCTTAAATTGACTGCAAAATCAATATTTTTATTTTTTCAAGATTACCAGTTTTGTTTTCTACTCATTATGACTTTTTATTCTAATATTAATCATTAATATCACTAAATGCATGTGTTTCAAATTTACAAACTTAAAAATGTATTTTTAATCATATTACAAAATTATACTAAAATCATTATGGTTAAGAAAACCTATATAAAAAATTATTCATCTGATTGAAATTTATTATTTTCTAATATAATTGTATAGTTTCTTTCGAAATTTTTTATATCTTTTCCTGAATTTCCTACCTGGAAATATATTGTTTTTAAGGCAGAATAAATTAATTTTTAAGAAAATTCAACATGCCATATTTGTGAAATAAGTTCAGTTACTACAGCTTTTCTAAAAACAGTTGACTGTTTTTAGCTTTTCTCAAGACATTAGATGAAGTGTTTTAATAACAATTTTAATAAAAATCTGGGAGTTTCTAGAAAGTTTTCATGCTGTGTGGTGATCCCATTTGAAAAGAACTCTAAACAATATTACTTTTATAATGCATCATTTATGTTATTGAACTATTCATAACATGGTTCTGATGTAAGAATGTATTCAGATATTAATTAGAAAATATAAATATTATATTTTTTGGATAATTTCAATATAATTTTTTACACTTTTATCTTGAAAAAAATCTTCAGCAGGAAAGCTTTTATTTATCAAAGTATTTTTAAGTATGGTAAAAATTATAGTTTTATCCACACAATAGTATATTCATTAATTAATATACTTATCTATTGATGTAATACAAAATCAACTGATTAAACATTTAGTGAATCTCCAGAAAAATTTATGCTGAAAATCACAATGGATGGGAGATACAAAAATTTAAGTTTTATTTATTGCTAGAAAGCATTTTTCTAAAAATTAAAGAATGGGTAAGCTGGTGACTATAGTATAGGAAAGGAAAATCACAAATATGCTTCATATTAGAATGCTATCACTTGCCTGTTATTATTTTCAATTATCTGTAAAAAAAAAAAAAAAAAAAAAAAAAAAAACTCAAACTTATGTTTTAAAACTTATAATCGTTGTTAAGCAAGCATTTTATAAAATATTCATTGGAAATATATTATTTCCAATTTAAAGCTATTTATATCTTATATTAATATATTACCTAGTTCTCATCAGAAAAATCCTAATGAATCAAATGGAACAGAAACATGCTGATGTAAAATTTTAAATTAGGTGAAAAAGCAGTCTTATTTTTGTATATTATAGTACTAAGTTTCTACTAAAACTTGATTTTGAGGGTGATCAGACAATTCTTTTGGAGCCAAAAAAGTATTTGGGGGGGGGGGGGGTCCTGAAAAAAAGGAATATGCAAGCATGTGCTTATGCATTTCCCAGAATTATTTTTAACAATTCCAAAAACAAAAATATATAATAAATGCTTGATAATTCCCAAAATTTTGTGTCTATATATGGAGGAAATATTGGATAAATATATAAAAGAAAAGGACTTGAATATGCTACATTTTAGCAGGGGCAGAAAAGCAATTAAATTTAAAGAAATCTATATATACATAAAGACAATGTTTTCTTAGCATAACACATCTAAAGAACGTGCCTCATGTGTCTTAACATTAAAAAATGAATCAGTGTCCAAAATTTAGATAAAGAAATTTGTTTTTTGCAGATCAAAGTCCATTTAAATTTCAAGGAATTTGTTTCTAATAAGTTTTGTATTAATCACAGTAAATGATGTGTGCACATTTTTGTAAATATAGGTATAAAATTTTGATCATAAATATTAAAATCATGCATAAAATTCAAATGTTGATAGTTTTATGTCAACATAAAAATATATTTTTTTATCAAAGGAATGAATTTTTTGTACTATATTTTGTTCAGAAACTAACAAAGCCTTATTGAAATATTAAATAAAATACTGAACCAACGCTTTCAATTAGCAGTAAAACTATATTATAATACAAACCTAATGCTAAGTAAAACAACCTGGGTTTTCAATAAAAACTGAAGAAAATCCAATACATATATACAATGATTAGAATACTGTATAAATTTTTGGTGACTATTTACTTGATAATTTGATATAGCAAGACAAAATATACATTTTCCTTGAGATAAGCTTTGTTAATTACTTAGTCTCTCCATTCTTGTGAAACTGAAATAGACATTCTTCATTAAGAAGTGAGTATATATTTTTAGAACCTAACTTTACAACTGTTTACTTTTCTTCTTCATTTTCAGGTTGTGTAGACTCTGATCCTTCCAAGATGGCATTTGATGAGTCATCTTTCTCACGTTTAGATTTTTTATGCTTATGACGTGATGAATGATGTTCATCATCGTCATCATGATGATGACGACGACGGGATGACCTCTCTTTGTGGCGCTCTTCTCTGTCTTTGTGATCACGATGTCTTCTTTCGCGTTCGCGACTATCACGTTCACGATCTCTCTCATAATGCTCACGTTCATAATCCCTATCATAATCTCTTTCATAACGTTCTTTGTCTCTTCGACTATCTCTATATTCCCTATAACGCCTCCTTTCATATTCTTCTCTTTCACGTCGCTTATAATCTTCATCTGAAGTTGGTATTCGACCAGAAGAACGCTCTCTGTTTCTTTCTTCCCAATAATGATCTCTTTCTTTATCTCGAGATCGTTCTCTGTTCCTATCTCTATCACGATCTCTGTCCCTGTCTCTATCTCGATCGCGATCTCTGTCTCTTTCACGATGTGGAGAGTTAGTCCAACTGTGCTGTGATTCAGAATTGGCATCAAACTGCCGAGAAGAATTGCCAGTGAAAAACTGTTCATCATATTGTGAATTAGAGTCTACATTAACACCTGGTACAGGTGGTGGAGGCTGTGAAAATATGGGATTTCCATAGAGATCTGGAAATGGAACATGACCTGGCATTGTTCCAGGTGGTGGAGGAATGCTTGGTGGTGGCAATCCGGGTGGTAATCCAGGAGGAGGAACTGATAAATTAGGAGGAATGAATGGGGGTGGTATATGTGTTGGTGGTAGTCCTGGTGGCATTGAGCTGTCATACACATCTCTGCCAATCACCTAAAAAATTCACACACAAAAAAATATATTTTAATTATTTTTCATCTGTTTTATTCCTCTATAGTTATAGCAAAGAAACATGTCAATAACATTTGCCTTAAAATAATTTTCATTTTAATCTAATATGATTACAGTACTTTGGTGCTGTAATTGTATTAGATTAAAATGAAAATTATTTTTGGTTTACAGTACTTTGGTGCTGGAAAATTATATTGAAATTTATTAATAGAATATTTTCTGTAAACGTCAATAATTGTTCTGATCTAGTTATAACAGTATCCAAGTTATCTAAGTATTTTTGGCTTGTATCCATGTTATATATGGAAAAAAACCACAAAAATGCTCATGCAGCCAGCCTATTCACCTGGCATTGTACCCAGGTTGGAGCTACCAATGTTCAGCGACTCTACTGCTCAGCCACTAGTGGGCCCTTTGAGGTTTGAACCTGCAATCTTTCTAATGACTGTCAGTTTTAAAGACAGTGTGAAAGAAACTTTCTTATATTTGTTCACACAATTAAAAGCAAACAAAGTATTATGCATTAAATAGTAAGTAAAAGGGGAAAATTACTGCTGAAGTTTTTAAAGATAACTCTTTTTAATAGTTACATCAACTCTAGAATCTTTTCATTTAGAATTTAAAAAGAAACAATATGAATCAGTCACATTCTAAATAATCTCTTAATAATTTTCTAGAATATAAAGATTATGTGTGGTCAAAATGATTACAGTATTTATGAAGAAAAGTTTTTCATTTTTGGCGGTCTAAACAAAAAATTATGGTGAGGTCAGAGAATAACAAAACTTAACTTTTTTTTATGCATTTAACAAAATTTAAAACAACTTTTAAATGAAATTTAAAAGGAAAACTTGAAACAAGGTGTTTAAATAATGTGTAATAAATTTAATAATATAGTACAATCATCAGTCATCTGGTGAAGACTTATGCTGCCAAAGATTTATTCTTTTGAAAATACCTACAAGAAAGAACAATTGCAGAGTATGTATTCATTTGCATACATAATTGTAATTATAAAAAAATTAGAATGGAAAACGTGTACCAACATTTCTACAGATAGTGCACAAACAATGGTGGGCAGAATGGTTTGGTTTGATTTGATTTGTTGAGATTACAGCATACTATGGCTATCTGCCTAAAGGGCAGGATGGGTTCGTGGTAGACTTTCTAAGGGAAACTGGCTTGTATCCATGTTACATATGGAAAAAAACCACAAAAATGCTCATGCAGCCAGCCTATTCACCTGGCATTGTACCCAGGTTGGAGCTACCAGTGTTCAGCGACTCTACTGCTCAGCCACTAGTGGGCCCTCTGAGGGTAGAATGAAAGGAATTGTGATGTGCATTTTGATAATAGCAACAAACGAAAAAAAGTCACTGAAAAAACTACGTAAAATTTCAACCACTCTAATCCAGATTATTTAAAATTTTATGTGATGAAATGAATAGCTAACATACTGTATTATTATCGCATACTGTAAGATGGCTATCTATGGAAAAAGCATTGTCAAGATATTATATGAGAACTACATAGCGAGTTATTTCTTTTCATCATATTTTTAGTAAGTCGGCATGTTAGCAAGTGTACCTTATTTTGCAGATATATTTACCAAGTTAAATGAAATAAATTTATCATTACAAGGAAGAAGCATTTCTGTTTTTAATGTAATGGATAAAACTGCTTCTTTCAGATGAAAGTTAATATTAAGGATCTCTTTAAAAGAAGAGAATAAATTTGACTGTTTTCCTACTTTAGATTAACTTTTAAAATGAAGAAAGTTTAAGAATAGATACAGAAGTTTATAATGAAATATTACATATTTACATGACTTGTAGTTATCCCTTTGTCAATATTTCCCACAGTGTCATTCTTTCACGAGAGCAGCTAAGCCGGCAAATATGAATGCAGATTTCAAAAACTTAATCGACTTGACATGTTATTCCAGCATAAAACAGAATTTTAAAAACTACTGCTAAACAAAATTTGGATATGTTTATGAGAAGTACTTATTAAAAGGAGCTACTCATATTTTATTTCCTCTTTGACAATATAATTGTATAAGACAGGCTTTTCACATTACAATACAACAAAATCAAAATATAAAAACTCATTGCTGCAAAGCTGTTTTTAACACTGTTCATTTTATATCATTTGTTTCATTTAATTAATTTAAAGTGACATTTTTCTTAAAATTAAAAATTGAAAAAAGTGTTTATTTAATATATCAATATCATCATGTAGCTGCAATATACTATAATGTTTCATAAAAATTTTAGTAGTTGAAAGGTATTTCATGATGAGATATATTTGGGAAATCTTTTTAATTATTTTTCAAAAATCAAATTTTGCTTGAAAACATAAAACACATTCTAAAATTTCTATGATTTTAAATTATGTTTTTATTACCAATATTTCTCTTAATGCTAACATCCAATATTAATTACATAAATAACTCTGCATTTTATTAAACTCTACTGCTTATTCATGCATGATAAGACACTTGGCATGTATTATATCTTTTTTTATTCATTTAGCATTACAAAGAAGATTATTATTTCATTTTTATTATTATTTCAATTTTTATACCTGTATAGTGAAAAATCATACTAGCATCATATATTAAAATTGAAATACACTAGTTCTGTGACTGCTGTCTTAAGATCTCTAACTTTAAAAATTTTGATTGAACTGTGTTACTTATTTTAATAACATTTTTGTCTCCCAGCCACAGGTATGACACATAATTGCCAAAATAGGTAATAATCTGCCAAAATTATATGATGTGTTTTCAAAGTTCATTATATTTTGTTTTGTTTGATTCTATGAGATGCAAATTTTGGCATGGTTTTGATTTTTTATTTTCATGATGGACTTATGGGATTTACCAAAAATTAAAATGGAATACGCAAACTTTTCTCAAAATTCAGAAATACTGCCAAAGAATAAAAAATATTCAATTTCATGTTATGAAAGTATCCATTGTTGAAGAAACCTCACAGTATTTATAAACAGAAAATACAAACAAGGGTAGGGAATTGGTTTGAAGAAAACTGAATTTCATTTATCCGTGCTTTATTTCGTGTGAAGAGATGACATCAGTAATATTTTACGAAGAATAATACATTGGGGAAAAGATACTGTAACAGACCGAAATATGTATATTAAATTTATGCAACAGAAATGGAAGTAGAAGAAAAGGAAGGAAAAAACAAGTATAAAAGGGTACACTATTTAATTAGATAAAAGCTTGTTTAGGAAAAAAATAAAACAATGTTCGTCATGTATTTTCTCAGCTGCGGATTTCTGAATGACTCAGTAGAGAAATTTTGGTTAATATATTTGATATACCAATACAGAAGCAACAATACTGTTGAGTGCAATTAAAGGAAATGTTTAAAAGGAATTAATATATTATTTATTTGGATTGCTTAAAAATATAACTAATGAACATGGGCATGTTAGTTTTAGATATCACTGGTTTTATTTATTTATTTATTTATTTATTTTAAAGACCGTCTTGCCCACCTGATATTTAAAGATAAATTTTTAAAAAATGGAGTTAAAAAAATTATTTTTTCTTCAGTAATTCCAAGAAAGAGGATACCAGTATCCTCCCAGGAATATCAGTATACTGGATTTTTATTATCCTTCCTTCAGAATTTATTCAAAATAACAATACCCATTAACTGTGGCTCAGAGCCAGTGAAAAAGTATAAAATAGTAGATACATTGTTACGTTTCTGTTTTCAGGAATATCATATCAGTCAGGAAATTGCTGATCTAAAAATGGCTATTTTAATCAGTGGTAGTTATGCATTTATATGTATGGTAATTATCTATATACAGTACAAAGTCCATAATCCGGACTCCTTAGGACTTCGGTGATTCCGGATTAGGGTTTTTTCCGGTTTATAGATCATCAATTTAAATCTGGTAAGATGGCATGCAGAAATTATACAATTAAAAATATGAAATAAAGAGCAATCATGCTCTAAAAGGTATCAAAATTTACAAAAAAAAAGCTTAATATTTATTTATTTACTTTATTAAACATTTCTTTCAATGCAAGTTGTTTAAGTTACTTTGTTTTTTGTGCTAATACTTTCTCTTTAATTCTATAAACAGACATAATTTCTTGTCCAGTTAAAAAGTTCCACTGTTCAAGTCCTGTAATTGCTGTGTCAAGAATACTGACTAACTTGCCAATCAAAATTTTTTCGTTTTCAATAACGTTCAATTTCGTTTTTTCTCTGTCACTTTCTTCACTTCGGAAGCATGCATGGGTAAACGCTTTACTGGCTTTACACGCATGCGTAGCGGACACGCACATCAAACGCGCCTGCGTAAATGTATCACGCGCATGCGTAAGTTTGTGGCTTTGAGGTCCGGAGTATAGATCATTCTGAATAATTGACGTCCGGATTATGGACTTTGTACTATAGTTTATTTTGTATTTAAACAGTGTAATTATTCTACATAGTATGATAATTAAAGTCCTTCCTCTTATTCTGCAATTTTGCTTCTCTAAGTACACTTTATAAAACCTTACCAAATATTAAAACAGAAATATAATAATAATGGGAGGTCTTACTTCACAGAACAGAATGCATCTGGGATTTTGAGAAATGGCAGAAGAAAGGAAGCGTGTGCTGCCATGTTCAATCTTATTTGGCATAATTCATAAAAGCAAGAAATGAAATTTAAGCTTCAAAATAATCAAAACTAAATTGATAACTAGCAGCATCTATCAATTTTTTTTTTTTTTTTTTAGCTCAGTCAAAAAGATGGCATTGCTACTTCTGAAAAATGAAAACTTATCTGATTACTATTTTTGTAAACAGTCATAAATTGGCAGAAATGCAATTTTAATAATTATTTAAAATTATACATCTAATGGAACCTTTCTATGTAAAAATGTGCTATAAAATTCAAGAAAATGCTTCCAAAAAATCAAAAGCATCACAAATTGTTACCTGTAATTTGTTTGTATATAACTAATATACTTTTATGCAATATATTTGTAATATTCACATTTAAATAAACACAAAGTAAATGATTTTAAAAATTCATGCAGAAATTCAAATTATATTTTTAAAAAAAAAAACTGCACCACTTGTAATGTAATACCTGAATAACATTTTCTTTACTATTTCCAGAACGTCTAGAACTATTAGCACCGCAGATGACATCAATGCTCCCAGACATACGTCTGCCAGGAGGAGGTCCAGCTTTTTTGACAACAGCTCCCATTCCAGAATATTTACTATTCTCATTTACAGTTGCTATTGGAATTTGTTGATCTTTTCCAGGTATTATTTGTACAGGCTGAAATACACGCATTTCCAAAAAATAAATTTTGTATATAAATTAAAAATTTATCATTAGTAATTAAGTTAATCAGGATCAATGATATTCTTTCAACAATCAACATCAGAATAATAAAAAATCACATTTGCAAAGGTTCTCATTTTGTGTGAAGATACTCATAATTTCACAATAGAGTAATAATGAAAAACTGTGACTTGCAATGTAAAAAATTATGATGGCTACTACTGGCACTATGTCAAAATAAAAAAGTAATCAAAGATGGATTGGCTTTAATTTTGTTAATAGATGCATCACTATCATTCTGAATTCATGCTGCTGCTGAATTTTTAACTTCAATTTAAATTTGAAATTTTCATTTCTTACTCACATTCAATTAAAAATGTAAACATAAAAAAAAAGATGCTCATCCATTTTAATTCTTTATATAAACAGCTATACCTGCAATTTTGCTCATTTTGTTAGAATGAAATTAATTTGTTTTCAGAATTTTGTTAGAATGAAATCTCTTTTCATATATAAACTTATAATACATGAAAAGAGATTTACTGTCTAAAATATATGTAGTATCTGAAACATTGGCATACTAGTTTTAGATATTACTTAAATTTTTAGATTTCTATACTACATAACCAAATAAATCACTCAATTCTAATAATGTTCCCACATTGGCCATATCAAGAAACAAGAGATAATTTGAATTACACCTTTCTGTGCATTATATTGTCACTGTTATGTCTTAAAATTTAAATAAAAAAATATTTCAATGGAAATTATACAAGAAAGTTGCATTTTGTTATAAAAATTAAATACAAATTAATTAAAACTAAAATTATACAAGGTATATCCATAAAGTAACCAGACAATTTCTTAAAAATAACAATTAAGATTACTAATTTTCAGATAAATTTATCTCCTCCATTTATCTCCAGAGATGGCTATACTATTTTTCCAACTTTTATTCAGGTTATCAAAATACTGTTTATAGGCCTTGCGAAATATGCATAACATTTCATTTAATATCTGAGATGTCCTTTCATGGCCATCTAAAGCTTCAGAAAAAGAAAAAAATCAGTTGGTGATAAGTAGGGAGAATAAAGTGGGTGATTTATCACTGCAGTTGAATGCTTCACAAGATATCGTACTGACAGTATTGTGTAGGGCTAGGCATTATCGTGTAAAAGACACCAATGCCCAGACTAAAAAAGTTCCTTCCTAACTTACCTTATCCTATTTCTTATTCAAAAAAGTACTTTCTTGTAAAAATACTGATTAACTGATTGATTTTTAGAGACAAATTCAGGATGAATAAGTCCTTTGTAATTAAAAAATGCAATCATCATCACTTAAGTCTTTGATTTCGATATCCATGCTTTTTTTGTACGGCACAAAACAGTTCTTTTCACTGTGCATTTTTGTCTCTTTTTCTGGGTCATAATTCAGATACTAAATCTCATCTTCTGCTATGATGTACTTTAAAAACTGTCTGTTGTCTGTCTTGCAAAAGTAGCAAATCTTTAGAAGCTTTTCTGTCATCTTTTTGCTGCTGTTTCGAAGGACCAAATCGAGCACAAACTTTTCTTATTTTCAGATTTTCGATTAAAACTAACCTACAGCTTTTTTTGCTTATCCCAATCATGTCTGAAAGTTTCCGAGTAGTTGCACATCTATCATCTTCTACCTAAGAACATATTCTCTTCACATTTTCATCATTCTTTGAAGTTGAAGAGCACTCTACCTCAGGTTTACTACTCCAACATTTCTGTGCTGAAATTTTGGTTGTACCACTCATACACTTGTGCTGTTGAAAATGATGCATCAACATGTTTGAATCATCTCTAAATGTTTCGATAGCAGATTTACTAATTTGCAGCAAAACTTAATGTTATAATGTTGTTCCATTTCAAACTAATTTTGTTTACAATGTGTTATTAGTAAATGAAAATGACTCCAGCATTTTAATATGCAGATGACAAAATAACCAATTTGAAATGGCTTTAACAAGATTTGAGATGTTATTCTAAACATACACTTATTCTTTCACTTTTTTTAATCATTTGATCTTTTTATTTGTCCAGTTACTTTATGGGCATACCTCATAATTATCATAATTACAAAAGCACAAAGAACATAATAAAAACATAAATATTATATTTTATACATGAGTTTAAGATTTTTGTTCCAAATGCAGCAGATAAATGCACAAAACAATATTTACATGTGGAATGTCAGCTTAAAATATATGTTGTGTATAAATATTTACTTTCTCTTGGCTATGTGTATACACGTGACTCAAAGTTATAACAAACAAATAAAAATTCCTTCACAAAGTGTGCTGTAACGATGCAAAGGTATAAGAATCGTGTTTTAGACTTGTGAAATTATCATTATAAAATGCAAGGTGCGATAAAAAAGTTGTAGGACTTTTTCCCCCCTTGGCATATTTGAAATTAAAATTAGGTTTTTCTATCACTATATTGTTTAAACATTTTCAAACATATATAAAAAAATTACATACCAACATATGGCAACACTATAATGCTATAGTCCTCTTTACATAGAAGAAATTATTTTCATTCATAATTTTTGCTAACAAAGAAAATGAGTGATTTGAAAGAACGATGCACTTGTATTAAATTTGGGATAAAATTGAACAAAACTTGAAAGTTATGATCTGATTAATCACACATTGAGAATAATTCTATGTCAAGCTAAAAAATTTATGAATAACATAAATATTTTAAAAAGGGCTGAACATCCATTGAAAATGGACTCAAAGTCAGTAACTGACGTTAAATCAAAAGAGGTCCAGCTCTGTTCCAAGAAAATCAAAGAATAATTGTGAAAGAGATAAGAGATGAAAAATGGAGATAAATTTTCCTGAAATGTGAAAAAAGACAACAATGGATGCTTGATGACAATAATGTACAGCCACCTGTTGTTATTATGGCAATTCTTGGCTCATAATGATCTGGCAACTGATCTGCAACAAACTCGAGTCCAGTAGGCTTTTCCTTTTTAATAATTGAAAAAAAAAATTGAGAGGACAAAGATTTTAAAACAAAATCGCATCATTTTGAGACATAATGGGCTATAGGAAAGCGAGATTTTACTCTACACACTTTATTTTCACATCATCATGAAATGTAGGCACTTAGCTATTTTATGAACTTAAAATAAATTTCATATGTTTCAATAAATCAATTAAATACGAATTTATTTAGCAAAAAATTATGAAAAGGTATTGAGCTTAACACCTTTTCAACATGGGTATTTTTTGAAAAAGTTTATTTTTAAAAATGTACAGTTTATTTTCCTTTGATTTTTGGACACATTTAAACTTTCATCCTTTGACTACTGCTTTTTTAAAAATTTAAAAAAAAAAAAAGACTTTAGAAAAATGATAATATTTTGTATTTTTTTAATTTCTTTTAAATAAAGCTTCCGAGTACACTTCTCACATCTCACGATCTTTTACTCTGAAAATGTGATTTTGGAAACACAACAGAAAGAATCTTTTTTTCACCCTTTCTTATTGTATGTACACAATGGGCGATAGAGGTTTGATGAAATCACATCATTTGTCATCCACAATAGATTTCCATTCTTTTAGAAATATGGGTTTGGCAACAATTTTTCATTGTATTTCTTATGTCACTGTTTTTTAAGAGATTGGCATATTTCATTGCCATTTTTTATATATATAATACATTTTTATTGATTTTTTTATAAAGTTATTCTGCAGAGTAAAATTCTGCGCGGAATTTTATGTTTTTTTAGTTACTTTCATGTTATTTTTTTGCTTATTTCACTGTTTGTAAGATATCGAAAAGTTTTGCATGATTTTTTTGTCTTCAACGGAAAGTTGGTTAATTTTTTTATTAGGATAATTAATATTTGTATTAAGGGATATAGATTATTTTATTGTAATTTTTTTCTCTTGAAAATATGAGGTAAAATATCATTAATTATACTTTGCTTTTCAGAATTTTTTGTTTTTTGTATTCTTTTATGTTATTTATTGCTCATTTCACTATTTTTAAGATATTGAAAAGTTTTGAGCGATTTTTTTAGGAAACAAAGTTCTTAACCTCCTTTATACTATTTGAGTTCTTAATATTTTGCAAAGGGAAGTTGGTTAATTTATTTATTAGGATAATTAATAGTTGTATTAAGGGATATTGCTTATTTCATTGTAATTTTGTTATATGTAATAATATTTCTTTATTAAGTTGTTCTGCAGAGTAAAATTCTATGCAGTTTTTAAATTTAACGTTTGGTGTTTCCTTTAGCCATTTTTCCGGTACATTTAAAAGCCAGACGAAGGCTGGCAGCAAAGCTGCTAGTTTCAAAATAAAATCCTTCTGCACTTCATCAGCTTTTTAGTCCAAAGGGATTTGAATCCCAAAGGACTATTAGTTTCGTTTTGGCATTTTGCGTCGGACTCATAAATGTCGGTTCACTTTTCAAACTGTTTCCACAAAATGTTAGAGTCCTGCATTATATTTGAAGAAATTAAATAATGAAAAATCTGCATAAATGTATGTATATTTCTCGTATTGTGATAAAACAACGGTACACAGAGTCATCGAATTTTGAATAACGTAATCCTCCAACGAATATGAGCATGTGGAAGACCAAATTTGAAATTTGTTTTATGATCGATTTCCTATTTTTTAAAACTTTGACGAATTTTTGATTAACAAACTCAAGGATTTCAAAGCGAGCAATGGCAACGTTGTGTAGAAAAAACATTTTTATCTCCAGCGCGTGAGTCTCTATCGGAAATTCTAAAGATATGCTCGTTTTAAAACTATTTTGCGATATTGCTGTTGCACTGGATCTTATGGTTTAAGTGCGAGGAACATGATATTTAATAAAGAAAGGTAACACACAAAATGTTAAAAAACGCCCCTTTGGACGTAATTTAAAATCTGAAACATTTCAGATTTTGTTTTTTTAGCTATTTTATTTTTTTCCCCCCTCCAAACTGTAGAAAGCTGCTTAATAAGTATTTTTTTAGTACAGCTAAAAGTACTTCTCACAGTTTTGCAGTAATTTTTGTATTCTTCTATGTTATTTATATGTTTTAAAATTTAAAAAAGAAGAAATTTTTTTCATTCATGATTTTTGCTAACAAAGAAAATGAGTGATTTGAAAGAACGATGCACTTGTATTAAATTTGGGATAAAATTGAACAAAACTTGAAAGTTATGATCTAATTAATCACACTTTTGAGAATAATTCTATGTCAAGCTAAAAAATTTATGAATAACATAAATATTTTAAAAAGGGCTGAACATCCATTGAAAATGGACTCAAAGTCAGTAACTGATGTTAAATCAAAAGAGGTCCAGCTCTGTTCCAAGAAAATCAAAGAATAATTGTGAAAGAGATAAGACATGAAAAATGGAGAACAATAAGAACAACAATAAGAAAGGAAAATTGTTGCCAAAATCACATTTTTAAAGATGTGAGAAGTGTACTCGGAAGCTTCATTTAAAAAAATTTTAAAAATACAAAATATTATCATTTTTCTAAAATTTTTTTTGTAAAAGCAGTCGCAAGGATGAAAGTTTAACGTGTCCAAAAATCAAAGAAAAATAAACTGTACATTTTTAAAAATAAACTTTTTCAAAAAATATCCCGTTGAAAAGGTGTTAAGCTCACTTTCTTAAATAAATTCGTATTTAATCGATTTATTGAAACACGAAATTTATTTTAAGTTCGTAAAATAGCTAAGTGCCTACATTTCATGACGATGTGAAAATAGAGTGTGTAGAGTAAAATCTCGCTTTCCTATAGCCCATTATGTCTCAAAATGACGCGATTTCATCACAAAACATAAAATTTAAAAAATTCTAATTCGAATTTCGAAAAAATCGCTTCGAGGTGCACTGGCTCTTGTCTAGATGCACGTATGTACCCAATTTCGTAGCCGTGGGTCTCTTAGCTTTCGCGCAGCGCAAACGAAAGACACACACACACACAGACTCTTTCTTTTATTATATGTAGAGAAGATGAGACTTGAAAATTGTATAAATCTATTTCCATTAAAATTCAGCTCCAAAACTTTATTTTCATTCAGATAAAAACCCAGTCCTGTAACTTTTTCATCCCACCATATATGCTGATGATGAATCCCAAATAGCAGTTATAGCAAAGGATTTACATTTTATTCATCAGTGAGTATAAGTCTTAAATAAAACACCATCATTAAGTTTGCAACAAATTGTTCATATATTTAAAAAAAGTAAACAATACTACAACAAATATACTAAAAAAAATTACATATTTTTGTAGCTGATAACTTTATACAACTACCTTTACAGCTCATTACAAGTTAGTATGAAAGCTTTCTTCAAATAACTTTCATACTTTTAGTCTTGGACTAAAACTTTGTTTAAAAGTTTAGAAATATATCTGCTACATTAGATAAATGATTACTGAATGTGTGATGGGAATAAATAGTAGGGATAAGACATACACATCCTCAAATCTTATTAAGTCTTGAGGGGGGGAGGGATTGTGATTTGAAAACTTGATCTTTGGAATTTTTTCCATCATTATCTTTTGAATCCTAAACTTAAAAAAAAAAAAAAAAAAGTGAATTCAATGCTTTAGACATACTGGTTTTATTGAGGTTCATTAAAAAGTGAACACAATTGCTGCAATTTCATTGAACTTGGGATCACCAATGTTACTTAGTGGTAGACCTAAGTGTTAATTTTCTGGAGAAAATTTAGCATTCTATATTTAGAGTTTTTCTGTATTAACACCTGAAATAATCCCCTTTCCCATCTCTAACTACTTTAATGTAAAAGCAAAAGTAGAAAAATTCTGGAAAAATGTTAAAAATGAGAAATGTTAGTCAAATATTATCAAATTATATTAAGAAAATAAACCTTTCAATTTAACAGCTTCAATTAAGTATTTCATTTACTAAATTCATTTCTATTTTTTTAATAAATAAGGTGTATTTTTAAAATCTACTTAACTTACTTCTAAGCCAAGCTAGTTTGAAATGAATTTACGTCTTGTCACTTAAAAAATGTAATACAGTTGAACTTCCAACAATCCCACTGACTGACATTTCAAGAATCCCAGGAATCTCATAATAGGGACAAATTATTTTTTAAGTGGACATTCCCTGATAATGAATAAAAGCCTTTGTACTATGTTAATAGGAGATTTGAGATATGTAATTTCACCTGATCTGATTACATACACATTTTATGTTTTATGTACAAGATGAATAAAACAAAAATGTGCAGGTAATTAATTCATAACAAAAATTTCCTTCTTGATTATAATCATGCAAAATAATTATTTAATGTATATTATTTAATATAATGAGAAGATAACCTTTGGTGTCACATTATTGTCTACACGTAATTTGCGTTGCTTTTCACAATAGGCTTTCCATGTATCTTCATTAAAACCATAATTAAAATAATCTGTAATATCAGCTCCTGGTTTTCTCCATGGTTTATCCTCAATAGTATCCAAGTTGAATTCATACATTGATACTCCATTGATGATACCGACTGTTTCTAAATCAATTCCTTTCGTTTTAGATACACCACTAACTGCTGAACCACTGGTGAATGCTCCTCCCCTTTTGATATTCAAATTTACAGGGGCTCCACCATATGGATAAGTAGTAGATGCTGGTTTTATATCACCAATTGTTATCTAATAAAAGTAAATGCAATATAAATTAAATAATACATTATTAACTATTTCATGTAAAATACTTTGACAATTACTATTTAAAAAATGTTAATGAAAGTTTTCAATCAGATACAATAATTACTTCATAAATGAAAAAAGTTAAACATCCTGCATACTGAACAAGCACATGCATTGAAAATTGCTCTGCATTATGAATCACATGTTAAAAAAAATTAGCAAATTAAATATAGAGCTACATTTCTTTTCCTATTTAGGCTATGCATAAGTACGTGCATAAACAAAGATAATAAGCAGAGAGATAAGTGAATAAACATTCTTAATGTATTGTCACAAAAAAAAGTACTAGTCATTCTCGAGCAGGAACATGAAGAAGTTTTTGATAAAGAGGAGAATAGCAACCACCAAAGATCTTCTGCAAAAGTGGTTCAAACCACTAACAGCAATGACTTCCAATCCAGCTTAGGTGTATGGATAAGCAGATATACCCAAAAACATTCTGTTGATTTATAACGTCAGATGGATTGCATTCATTATGTGGGCAGCACTGCATAGGAATTCAACAAAGCTAATATTGTATCTGACAATTAAATAGCGATACAACTAAAAACGATTATGTAAAGTTTTGTGTATGTAGATATAAAATAACACAGAAAGTCATTTTTAATTATTTAAATACAGTCAAAATTTGTTAATTCGGACACCCATAATCCGTAATGATCTATAATCCGGACCTCAAAACTTCAAACTTTCTGCGCATGCGCGTAAGACCTTTAAAGCTGCGAATATGCTTCTGCGCGTGCGCAAAATACGTTTACGAGTGCACGTTTAATGTATAACGGACGGTATAAGCTAAGCTAAAATTATCTAATTATCTATTTCAGTTAATGCTGCAGATTGCGTTGTTCCTTAATCTTCGAATTGGATCCGGCTCATTATTTTTTGCAGACTGTTAGAGCAATTTTATAAAAGTAAGCTTGAACTTTTGATTATGTCAAATAGAATTTCTGATATATATTTACTAATATGTAAAGGATCTACAAAGCGAAAGTATATTTCAAAGTTCATTAAACAAAAAGTGGAATTGCTGTAAAAAATGGATAAAGGCATATATTTTGTTTATCTAAACTTTGTTTACATTTAATGCGGCCGCAGCGCGCAATTCATTGGAAGTTGATCTGTCAGCACTATCCTTATCTTCAAGGCAGATTTTTTATTTTATTTGGCTTATAATTCCTTACTAAATGTAGTATTTCATCTCGATGTACTCCGTCTTTGATATGATTTAAATCAAATTCCTCGTCATTATAATTCGCTTCCGATAGCGAAGAAAGTGACACAGAGGTTATTGAAAACGAAAAAAATTTCGATTGACAAATTAGTCGGTATTCTCGACACAGCAATTATAGGACTTGAACAGCGGAACTTTGTAACTGAACAAGAAATTATGTCTGTTTATAGAATTAAAGAGAAAGTATTATCACATAAAAAACGAAGCAACTTAAACAACTTACATTGAAAGAAATGTTTAATAAAGTAAACAAATAAATATTAAGCTTTTTTTTTTTTTTTTTTTTTTTTTTTTTTTTTTGTAAATTTTGATACCCTTTAGATCATAATTGTTCTTTATTTCATAAATTACGGTTTCATATTTTTAATTTTATAATTTCTGCATGCCATCTTACCAGATTTAAACTGATGATCTATAATCCGGAAAAATCGATAATTTGGAATCGCCGAAGTCCCGACGAGTTCGGATTAACGACTTTTGACTGTATATGGGTACTTATACCATGAAACAGTTGCCAAGCAGCACAGTCAATGCCAATGATGGCATGACGTCACAACATTGGACAATCCAATATTGTTATACTTTTTTCTTGCATTTTGAAAAAAAAAAAAATATTAAAATGGAATCTGCCTTCCAAATAACAGCAAGCAGTGTATTATTATCAAAGTTATGGGATCCTACCATAAAAAAGTATTTATTAATGTATACAATATGAATAATAATGGCCATCCTAACTGGAAAACTGTGACATGAGAATGTTTATTTGAGAAAGAACATGCTGCAATGGCTGTAGAATCACATTTGTGACTGCACTCTGGTTCATTTACAGTTAGTCGAGGGAATTAAAATCAACTAAATCGGGAAAAGAACAGCTGGATATTGCCCACAAAATAGTTATAGATTGAAACATTTACTTGTGGTAAGTTTTGCACTCACAGCATTCTAGACACAGCTTCCAGTAAAGTTGGAAGATAACTTTTTTTGTTACTATTTTGAATGTCATTACGATATTTTGACCTCAAGAATAATGGGCGCAGGTTTCAATAAATCGTAACTGCTTTTTCTTTTAATCTATAAGTTGAAAAAATATTCCTTAAATCTATATAAATATAAAATAAATTCAAAGTTTGGGCTCTGAGATGCCCATGTTCAGGTGAAGCACACCCCAACATACGCTACCCGAAAAACTTGGTAGCTCTAGATGATGTCATTTTTTGACAATGCAAAGAATATACTACTAAGCTAATTTACTTTGATTGTAAAGAAAATTAAAACCAGATAAAAAAAATCACAAAACTTTTCAGAACTTCCTCAAAAAGAATATGCTGGCTATCATCCTGATGTAAACAAATGAACTAATCTTACTCTACACGCATTTGAGTGAGCAATGTATGTTCCTTTCATTGGACATACACAATAAGAAATATTCAAGTTTCATATTTTGAGAAATTATAAAATGTTAAAAAATAAATTTTATAGTAAATAAATTATTTTCACTATAATAATATTTTATAGTAATCTCTAGTAAAATATATGAATAGCTCTCAAATGAAGATTTTTTTTTGTACCATACAATTAAAAAAATTGCTACTTAAAAAAAAATGCAATTATTATTTATTGACAATTAAAATTTAAATTTTAGTTTGGCTGCACTGAAGCAGAGGATTTAAAATGTTATTTATTTATATCCAAATATTTTATAAAAGAATCATACTCTTTAAAGCAGCTGTATTGAATTTTCTTTTGATAATTTAATTTTTTTAGCATTCCTTTCTAGTTTTGAGCTTGTAAAATAACACCATCACACACATATCACTTCATTAATTACTACATCAAATAAAATAACATCCAATAATTAATTAATGTTTAATTTTTAGAAAATAGTAGTTATTTGTATTGCTTTTCATATTTAAGCTAAATAGTTATTATATGAGAAAGGGAGATATTTAGAGGATATTCCTAGCAACATTAAACATGGAGCAAAAAAGGTTTAGGCATTTTTAAAAGAATCTTTTAAAAAAGCTTTACAACCTGAACATCATCATCATCTGAATCTTCCTCTTCATCAGAATCTTTTTCTTCTTCATTCTCTTGAACCTTGGTTGCATCTTGATTATTAATAGAAACTTCATCTTCAATACCTCCATGCTAGAGATTAGGAAAAAAATAATCATTTTGATAACATAAATTTAAGAATATACAAATCAACTCAAAGTTTTAAGTGTAACACCCATAAATGCAATATTAGATTTAGAAGTATTAAATGCAGTATAAAAAATTATACATATCAGCTGAACCTTCCCAGAAACACACAAGAATACAAAAATATTATTTTCCAAGATAGCAAAGTTCTAAAATCATTGTAATGTACTTGAACTTACAAACAAGAAACATTCAAAAGCATTGCACTCACTACTAAAAGCTTCTAAAAGACTGGTTTGGTAGAAAAGATTTGTAGACTATTAAAAAAAATGGTTAACATACTGATGGCTATTATCAGCATTTAATGCTTATGACTGGTCAATGTCAGTAAGGCAGAATACTTTCAGATGAGATGCAAAAAAGTGAAGTATGTTTTGTTCCATATTATCTTTGTCATAGTACTCCATAAGGAAAATTAGCAGCACTTGGAATAAATGACAGTCTCTGAACATCAGCATACATTTGCTTAATGTTACAGCTATTCCATTTTCAAAACAACATAATTTTCATTATTTATTTATTAAGTTATCATTATCATGTTTGAGTAATTCATATTAATATCTTCTCATTACACTTGTCTGCAAATATGTGCTTACAAATTACAATGAATTAAGGTAATTAGAACGACACTAGCAGAATAATACATGAAATGGAATTAACACGCGTAAAAAAAGGAATAAGCCTCATGCTAGTGAACAAAACATAGAATGGAAAGAAATAGCAATTAGAACACTAATGAGAAATAATTAAAAAGGAGGGTATGAATATGATAAAAAAATAAAATGCAACTATGAAAACTCTCAAATCAAATTATATGGAAAGACTGAATGCAAATCGTCATATTATGTCTTCTTCCCAGATTTCAGTACTCCGATTATTTGTAATTTGCAATATTGCCGGTTATTGAACATTGTGGGGAAAGTAATACTAAATTCTTGTAGCGCTGTTTACTCAAGATGAGATCACTTGGGGTCATGTGATACGAACCAGCGAATCAGAATGTTGTACAATGAAAACGTAGTAAATTCTTAAATTAATGTCTTTTTACTAATATGTCAAAAATGGATGAAAAAATAATGAAAATTTGGGATTTGCCCAGAACAGAGGAAGAATCTATCAGATCCTTTTAAGCGAAAGGCCTTTTGCCTAAAACTGGTACTTGTGATAATAATTATGAAATGAAATTATAGTTCAGAGACAAAATTCAATGGCGCTGCAACATTTCAACTTGTCCCAGTAAAAGAAGTATATGGAAAGGCAGATGGTTTGAGTCATAGAGATTGAGTTTCTTGAAGTGCGTAGGCTCTATTTATGGTTGGAGCAAAGGATTAACTTCAGTTAAATGGTTTGAAAAGCAGTTGGAAATCAGTCACAGAACAGTTTTTGACTGAAATAACTATATGCGCAAGGTTTGTGTGGATTCTTTGTTAAAACGTCAACAACAGAAAACAGGAGGACCTGGTATGATCGTGGATGAAAGAATGCTCACGAAGCACAAAAGCAATGCAGGACGGATTCTACCACAACAGTGGATCTTTGGTGGAGTTTGCCGTAAACAAACGAATGTTTCCTTTTGAAGGAGCCAAAGCGATCCATAATTATTATATTAGAAGCAATAAAAGAAAATATCAAAAAAGGAACTACATTATATTCCAATTCATGGAAATCATATTGCACTGAAAAACTGGAATAGGAAAGTTTCGAACATTTCAAAGTGAACCATTTTATCGCTTCGGAAACTGGAACGCACACACAAGAAATATAAAAAACTGCAGTAGCGCCAAATGGCAAAATAAGAAACAAAGAGCAACGGCACACCATCATCTGGAAAGTTACCTTGCTGTATTTATGTTGAGAAGGTAAATAAAACTTCCACCTGAAAAAATTCACATTTCTTTCAATGTAAGTTGCTTAATTTTTGTGCTAATACTAATAATTTTATGCTAATCGTTAATGAGATACAATCCGCAAAAGAAGAGGAAGAATGACCTTGCTTGTTTGCATTAGCTGTGCATAAGTCTCGTGATCTCTGAGGTCATCTGCATTGTCTGTTTACAAAAGGTATACATAAGTCACGTGATCTATGAGGTCAGCGGAATGTATCTCATTCTATAGACAGACTTAATTTCTTTTTCAGTTACAAAGTTTCATTTTGTTCAAGTCCTGTAATTGCTGTGTTGAGAATTCTGACAATTATCAATTGTAATTGTTTCGTTTTCAATAACCTCTCTTCACTTTCTTCACTATCAATAGTGGTATTTTCCAGATCTAGAACACAGATTTCACCGTCCATTACGTGATTAATGATTGGGGCATTGTTATCACAATGAAAATTTTCTGTTGTATCACCTTTATTTAGTATTCTTTTCCACATTTCTTTACCTAATCCATTAATTGGAAAATTTAACCTTTGGTTTGCGATATCCAAAAACCTTCAAATTTGCAGTTATCATCTTTATCAGTTAAAAGCATAACCAGCAAGTTTAAATTCCTCCTTAGTTGTCAGATTCAGGACTCATTTTACCCCTGACACACATCCGCTTGATAGCTATAATTATATCAGCAAAGAACTGCTGTAAAAGAGAATGTTCTCTCTCACCAAGATTCCCCTCATTTTTTGTTTCCACCCACATATCCTCACGTTCTCGTTCTGTTTTGCTCTCTTTTTAGCATCTGAATTTTTATCAGCTATACTTTAAGCATATTTGATTTTTCTGATAATAAAAGAACTTTTCTCCCTTACAACCAGAGCTTAAATTGCACCGGAGTTCACCGAATCCCGGATCCCATGCTTCTTAGTTTTTGTAATATATCATAATTCTAGTCGGAGTGCACTGGAACCCTAAATAAGAAGGTTGCGGCATTTCTTTTATGTAATTTAATAACAAGTTCGGTTGAAATTTTATTTTTAGCAATAAAATTATATTAAACATTGCTTATTAAATTTTAATTTATCTCTTTACATTTAATTATATAGCCATTATGATTGATTAAATAACAATTTATAAACATTAACTAAATAGTATTAATTTGATAGATAACATTAATTATTTAAAAATTAATGAGTTTAATAGTCATTTTATTATTTATTTATTCTTGTTCCTCTTTGTCGACGGTTTTCCATAGGGCTCCGGCACTTCTAATTTTAGAAATTAAGCCCTGTATACGTCTATCTTAAAAATTTGGTTGATCTTTACAATATGGTAACTGATAGTTTGGCGACATTTGGAGGCGCAAAGGTTAACCTGGGACTTTGGTAAAATTGAGCAGTACTCAGTTCCGGATTACGCATTATTTTGTGGCGGGAAATCATGGGATATGTCATGTGATTAATGGACGAATTACTGTTCTTTAATTGGGAAAAATCTGGGCAATTTTGTATTGGCTTATTCTGTGTTGTGTGAAATAATTCTGTGTTGTGTGAAATGTTTGTGAATTTTTGGATCCCATGGCCGTAACTAAAGTGAATTGAAATGGGTATTTAGTGGTATTGAAAAGGATAGTAAAAATGGTTTTTTAAGGTTGGCGAGAGAGAAATAAAGATGTTTTATTATGTTATTATTTACCTGGTATCTTGCTTTGAAAGATAAGTATGGATTTTAAAGATTCTGAAACAGAAGGAAGAAAAGGTATCCGCCACGTAATCAAGATTGAAGAAGATTAGGTAAGTTAGTATTTTTAATTATTTGAGGATATTATTTTTATGCATTGTTGTAAATGTAAGGTGGAAAGGAATTTGGTATTATTGGGAAAATTGTTATTAGCAATGATTTAGTGTAAAGTAATTAGGATTGTAAGGTAATTTTTATTAATTTAATGTATGTGCTCATTTATATTTTAAGTAGTGTTTTTGAATTTAATTATATTTTAATGAAATCATAGTTATTTTGTGAATTTTATGTTTGTAGGAATTTGGTATACGTTTAAGTTGAAATAAACGTGCATGGAAATAATTTAAATATTTGATAAATATTTGTATTTGTAACGCTTGCGGTATGAATTCGTTGGTGACGTGTATAATGTAATAGATGATTTAGAGGTAAAAGTTTTGGATATTTATTTATATGTGGAAATGTTGATATTTGTAACGGGTAAATACTTTTCGCGATCACGTAAATTTCATATATGTTCTTTTTACCGGGTTTTAAAGATTGAGAAAATTGTCATGTATTTTCGTGAAATTTTTTAATTTATGAGAAAAAAAGCAGTGTACATGGATATAGTGAAGAGTGTGCGCAATGCCATTTTTGTGCAATTCTGGGATGTTTTTTTTAAGTAAAAATAAGTCGGCATGTACATGGTTTATGTGTATGTGTTATTTTGAAAAATGCGTAAGGAGGATGGTATTGTGCAGTTTTTCCTAATTTTGCAGTGAATATTTGTCATGATTAAACAGTTTTGTTTGATAAAATTTCTAGCATAAGTGTAATTCGGCTAGTAGATCGTTGGAAGAAGTGTTCAGGAGATAAAAAGAAAAGAAACATGTCTTTACTGGCGGCGGGGAAAAAAAATAGAGGGTTGCTGTAGGAGAGTTGGTCGCCAAATTTTCGCCAAAAAATCGCCAAGTTACCATAATGTAAAGATCAACCATTAATTTCATGGGATGAAACATTTTGGAAAAAACACAGCTGAAAAAAGGCAAGCATCGATTTTACTCTAACATATTTAAGTAAAAGAAGCAGTATTTAAGTAAAAGAAGCGTATATTTTCTTACCCCAAGATATTATTTACACAGCAAGTGTTTATAAAATTGAAGATTTAGAAAAATCAGTAAATAAAAGTTTTGATCCAGTACATAAAAAACAAAAAAAACAAAAAAAGGAATTACTTTGATATCACCATTTGTTGTTATAATATTTTCTTCACCAGGAACAACAACTTCTTCTGATGCCCTATCAAATATAGCATTTATTTCTTCCTTGCGCTGCTCTTCCGCGTTATTTTCTCCATATAACCATGCATCATCATCGTCCACAGCTATATCAGCCGCCATACTTACATATATTTTTTTATTAATTTTCTTCTTACTGGTGTTGCCACTGCATATCTTGAATCTATGGCAAGATCTGTAGTCTGAGACCCGAAGGCCTTTTCTACCATAAGTTAACTATCGTCCCGGAAGTTTTCTTTGTCTTCGTAGAACTCCACCAGAGGACGGCACATTAGCACCTGGGTGCTGAAGATCTGTAGAATGAACAGCAATTATTGAATGGCATTAAAGAGCTAAAACAATTATATGGCTTGTAGAATTATTGAAGCATTAGAAAGTAAGATGTAGAACTATAGAAGCTTAGAAAATTAGAAGGTAAGAACACATAATAAGATGATAAAAATATGAAAAACAAGTTCGACTGGCGAACTGCAGATTATTCTGGTGAATCCTAACTTAATGAATAGAGTTCCAAGTATTTTAGCTGCTTGGACAGTTAGCAATGTCTTTCCTGCATTACCAGGTTCTGAATAGATAAATAAGTACATAGTAACATATGAGAAAATATATAAGTAAAATATAGTAGAAAATTATTTACAGTTGAGATTGTAGTTATAGTCCCGTGGTCTCACATTGTAAAATTAAATTAGAACGCATTAGTGCTGATTTAAGGACTCTTGACAATGAAATTTTAGAGCTTGCCTTAAGTGCTGATGATAATAGTAAAAGTTATTCTGACAAGCTTGAATCTGTATAAGAACATACAGTCAAATTTGATAAAGCTATAGTTTGCGTAAATTCTTTTATTGAAAGTAAATCACAACCAAACAAACTAAACAAACCAAACAAACCAAAACTAAAATTTCCCAAACTTGAACTAATGAAATTTAGCGGTGAAGTTAAAGAATGGTTGTGTTTCATTAACTTCACTTCTGGAGTCAGTAAGGAAATCATGATCATAAAGTTGGAAGACAAATTCCAATATTTAATACAGCGTATGTCGAAAGGTACAAGAGCGAAAGAGATCGTCGATAGCTAATCCACCACCCACGGCAGAAAATTATACAGAAGCGATTGAAACCCTCAAAGCAAGATTTGGCCGTGAGGAATTGTTAGTGGAATACTATGTCGCGAACTATTAACTTTAGTTCTTAAAAATGCTACTAAATCAAAACTTGGTATAAGTCAATTGTATGATAAACGTGAATCCAGCCTCAGATCATTAGCATCCATGGGATGACCTCAGACAAATATTTGTAATGCTCTTCCCACTTGTGGAGTCGTGTATTCCAGAAGATGAGTTGAGAGTTCTGTTGAGAAACTTAGTAAATGAAGAGAAATCATAAAGTGCAAGACTGACCCAGCTTTTAAATTTTCTAAGAGGTCGAAGGGGAAAAAAGAATAACTTTAGTTAAGCAAAGTGATCCCTACAGAAAAAATCGTAAGGATAGGGAAGATATTACGGCAGTGGCTATTCGCACCGGCGGTGCGAATAGCTAAAAGGCTATTCACACCACCTACGTTCGCGCATGCGCACAATCAGCCTAGGTACCAGCATTTTACGCCGATTTCCGTAAGGCAGGCGAGAGCGAAAGCGAAGATTGTTAACCCTAACTCAGCAATAAAAAATTGTTGTTATTAGTTCACCAGCAACAGAATAATTTGCAAGTAATAATTATCAGTTACAAAGACGAGGTCAATCTGTATACATGATAATGTTCAGGAAATGATTAAATAAAATAGCGATTTAATGATGGTTCTAGTTGCAAGCTAGGACGTGTAATTAATTAAAAAAATCTTTAGTGTATTGACAAAAAGGTTTCAGAAATTACTTAAATTCTTTTATATAACAGAAGAATTTTTATGCAAACTTAGACGCTAGTCTTATAGTATCCCGTTTTACCTTCGATATCAGAAGAATTATGATGGAAAATGAGTATACAATCAATTATCCAATGAAAGACATCTCGTCCCAACACAAAGAGTTTAATATTACAATTCTATTTACAATCAATTACAATCAATTATTCTATTTACAATCAATTATCCAATGAAAGACATCTCGTCACAACACAAACAGTTTAATATTACAATTCTATTTACAAGTCTAATTAAGTGTTAGTTTTAGCTTTGACACCTCAAAGCAATACTCAGAACATAAATGGCATAAAGTATTACTCATCAGTTTTTAAATACTCATGAAAAACATCTCAAAAAGTCATTATTCTCATTACTTAAAAACGAAAGTAAACAATAGAACAAACTCGAAAACGTAGATGTAAAAACTCAACTGTTGCCAATCACGATTTACTAAATTACATCAAAATAAAGATAATAATCAGGTAGAGGTTCAACTTCACATATAGCATAGGACGGTCAGAATCTATCCGCGATTCAATTCACCTATAGATGGCGCTTTCACACATTAGTATGGCGGATAAAACTCGGTATTTTGATTTGTGATCTGACTTCGTACATTCAAAAATGGAGTTACTTAGCTCTTCCGAAATGTTTGATTTTGTTCAAGGAGGCGTAAATTCGTCTTTTATTGAAGCAGAGAGCATTTTAAAAAGCTGATCATTTGGTAATGCACGGAAATTTACTTGAAATCCAATGTACAAGTTTTGGCTTTCTATTTAAGGATAAGTTCTATAGCGTCCTGATCGCATGAAATCGAAGGACATTTCATTGTTCAAAAAGGACAAATAAAATTTCTAAAAAAAAATTCTTGTTCATGTAAAGGAGGAACTGCTGGCTGTTGTAGGAAATTGTGTCGCGCTGTTTTATTGTATTGTGACAGGTAGCTGATTTTAACGTTCACTGATTGTAAACAAATGATTTCATATGTGTTTTACTTGGGATTTCTGAGAAAATCTGTGCAGTCAAAAGTGTCTTTTTTTCCCCATAAAAATGATATTGAATCATTATATGTATACTAAAAATATATTGATCTATTATATGCATCTATTGTATTTATTATACACATGATAGCACTAATCATCAAATGCAATTTTGAGAATATCAACAAGCAAAGCACTTAAAAATGAAAAAAAGACACTTGTTATAGAACTATTAATATTCTGTATGTATTATAGAAAATACATGCAATGAATAATACCATGACCAAACATTTCAAAAGAAAAAAAAAGCAGATTAAGTATTACCTACCTCAGTACTTGAGAAAGCAATTGTGGCATATAACATGCAGTTAACTTTTGATTACATGATATTACAAGCATTTTCTTTAGTTTTGTCCTACAAGTGGTTTAAACAACTCAATACTGGTAGTTTAATCTCAACTCAAATCCTGGTGAACAAGCTGGCTGTGCAGTTTTTATTTTTTTTAATGTGTTTTGTGAATACGAACCAGTTTTCCCTATAAAGTTCTTCATAAAAGCATTCTTCTTCAGGCTGATAACCAATGTGCTTAGCCATATTCAAATAGCCTAATCTAACCTTACGTTTTCTTTAGATTCTATATTCACATGTTATATCTTTATCTGTTAAGATTTGTTCATAACAGGATCACCAGGCTTCTACCTATCTGGCAGGAGCATACTCAAAACATGTCAAAACCATGTGATTTATAACAAAATTGATCATGTTATCCTTACAAACCTTTATAAATGTTCCAAATTTTCTTAATAATCTTATTATTTAGAAATGTGTTTATTGTTGTTTTTATATGAACAAAAGCATTTAAATATATCAATTTTAAAAATAATGGAAGTGTTCTTTTAATCAGTTTTGCTTTTCTAATGCTGTTTTTAATTAACAACTTTATATCTGAGCCAAAAATTCAAGAATAAGTCTATTAAAAAAGTCTGTGTGATAAGTCTATTAATTACATTGTATGAACTTCAACATCTTTGAATATGAATTATATTTTAATTAAATGATAGTTATTTTGTGAATTTTATGTTTGTAGGAATTTGGTATACGTTTTAGTTGAAGTAAACGTGCATGGAAATAATTTAAATATCTGACACTAAGTATTTGTAATGCTTGCGGTATGAATTCGTTGGTGACGTGTATAATGTAATAGATGATTTAGAGGTAAAAGTTTTTGGATATTTTTTATTTATATGTGGAAATGTTCATATTTGGAAAGGGTAAATACTTTTTTTCGCGATCAGGTAATTTCATATATGTTCTTTTTACGGGTTTAAAGATTAAGAAAATGTCATGTATTTTCGTGAAATTTTTCTAATTTAGAGAAAAGGCAGTGTACATGGATATAGTGAAGGTGTGCGCAATGCCATTTTTGTGCATTCTGGGATTTTTTTTTAAGTAAAATAAGTCGACGTGTACCATGGTTTAGTGATATTTTAATTAAATGATAGTTTTTTGTGAATTTATGTGTAGAATTTGGTACACGTTTAAGTTGAAGTAAACTGCATGGAAATAATTTAAATATTTGATACTAAGTATTTGTAATGCTTGCGGTATGAATTCGTTGGTGGACGTGCATAATGTAATAGATATTTAGAGGTAAAAGTTTTGGATATTTTATTTATTTTATATGTGGAAATGTTCATATTTGGAAAGGGTAATACAGTCAAAAGTCGTTAATCCGGACTCGTCGGACTTCGGCGATTCCGGATTATCGATTTTTTCCGGATTATAGATCATCAGTTTAAATCTCGTAAGATGGCATGCAGAAATTCTAAAATTAAAATATGAAACCGTAATTTATGAAATAAAGAACAATTATGATCTAAAGGGTATCAAAATTTGCAAAAAGAAAAAGCTTAATATTTTTGTTTACTTTATTAAACATTTCTTTCAATGTAAGTTGTTTAAGTTTTTGCTTCGTTTCATGTGATAATACTTCTCTTTAATTCTATTAAACAGACATAATTTCTTGTTTAGTTACAAAGTTCCGCCGTTCAAGTCCTATAATTGCTGTGTCCAGAAATACCGACTAATTTGTCAATCGAAATTTTTTTGTTTTCAATAACCTCTGTCACTTTTCTTCGCTATCGGAAGCGAATTATAATGACGAGGAACTTGTTTTAAATCATATCAAAAAGACGGAGCACATCGAGATGAAATACTCTACGTTTTGGTAAGGAATTATA